AAGAAATATTCAAAGTGATGAATACCAAGAACCTACAACCAAGATTACTTTATCCAGCAAAGCTATCATTCAGAATTGAAGGTCAGATAAAGAGCTTCACAGATAAGGAAAAGCTAAAGGAGTTCATCACCACCAAACCAGGATTATATGAAATGCTGAAAGGTATCCTTTAAGAAGAGGAAGAGGAAGAAAAAGGTAAAGATACAAATTATGAACAACAAATATGCATCTATCAACAAGTGAATCTAAGAATCAAGTGAATAAATAATCTGATGAACAGAATGAACTGGTGATTATAATAGAATCAGGGACATAGAAAGGGAATGGACTGACTATTCTTGGGGGGAAAGGGGTGTGGGAGATGCGGGAAGAGACTGGACAAAAATCGTGCACCTATGGATGAGGACAGTGGGTGGGGAGTGAGGGCGGAGGGTGGGGCGGGAACTGGGAGGAGGGGAGTTATGGGGGGAAAAAAGAGGAACAAATGTAATAATCTGAACAATAAAGATTTAATTAAAAAAAAAAAAAGAATCCATTGTGGCCCTCGAGTCAAAAAGTTTGCCCACCCCTGTCTAATGGATGGATGTTATTTTATCTCCCTGGGATTTCTTTTGTGTGTGTTTTTCATGTGAATATAAAATTTATGATTCTCAGCCAGAGGATCCTATTAGAATCTTCTAAGAATTTTTTTCTGAATAAACATTTCCATCTCTAAGGAATTGTTTCTTGCCATGACTGAGGGAAGTTGGGAGTGGTCAGGAAGAGGGGGTTTGTTGTGTGGCTTATGAGAAAAACTCCCAAGCTGCCCCCGACACTGTTCAACTTGTGCACCCCACCCTCCACCATGGTCCCCAGCCAACTAAAACAATCCCTGATTCTATGACTCAATCACATGTTAGGTTATTCCATGATTCAATAACGCAGAGCATCTCTCGCCCACTGAGTTCCGTGACATCTGGCTGCAAGTAGCCCATTGAAGAGCATGAAGTGCGTGTGACTGAGCAGTCCCACTGCCCCTCTCCCAAAAAAAACCCTTAACACCCTCCCTTTAGCTTATTCAAATCAGTTTCACATGCAAACCGGAGCCAAATTAGGAAATTAAACCTAGCTGACAGAAACAACGCTGAACATTTGCAGAATAAGCATGTGAAAAAAACAATAATCCGTTTTTATTATGAAATTTGTAAAAGCAACTCTCTTCCAATTCAGAATCTGCTTCCTAATGAAATCATCTTTCTCATCCCCTCCCAGCTGTGTGAGTTTCTGCAGGCCCCACTGCCACAGCTGGCGGCAGAGGAGGGAGTTTCTCTCTCACCATGTTGAACTGGTGTAGGGGGTTTCCAATTCTGATCACCCAGAGCACGTTCTGCATATGTTGTCTGTCTCAAACGTGTGGGCACCAGTCTCTTCTACTTCGCATTTGAAGAGTAAAGTGCTGCTGTAGGATTATTTTGTTTGGAGAATAGGTTTTGAGATTAAATCAACAGCTAAAAAATTGCATTTCTGAATAATTATATGTGAAAGAGATTGCCTGAAAGATTTTACTAGCCTTCCTGAAAAGATGGCAATGGATGAGCTATCTACCTTCGAAAAGTTTCAATTGGCAATAAAACAGTATGTAAACAGAAGTGGAGGCAACAACTTGTTCTCTTTCTGCAATAAAAGTTTTGAAATCACTTGTCCATCCATATGCTTTATCAGAAAAATAATAAATCCCAAAATGGAAAGTATAGTTAAAATTTATATTCAGAGTTCTATGAAAAATAGCTCCGCAAATGTCACTGGACTGTATAAATATGGTGTATCACCATCACCTGCGTTTCAGAAAGTAGGCAAGTAGTACAGGTGCTTTGATATTATAAACTCACCTGAAACTGAGTTTGATGTGAAAAGGAGGCAAAGATTGCCGTGTTTTATTTTCAAAGACATTCCAGTTCTGGCCTATGTGGTTGATATCTTTTACTCTGTAGTTATGGGTTTATTTGCTTTATATCTCTTTATTTTACTAACTTTTAACATTTTATTGTTCAAATAACATGTATTTATCGAGGTAAATAAGAAAAAAATAAAGTAATATTTTCGCAATCTTATTATCCAGAGATGGTTATTGGTTTCTTTTTAGTTTGTTTTGGTTTTAGTTGCCATCAATAAGAAATTTATTTTTAAAGAGTCCAAATGCTGGTCTTGTCCAGAAAAATTTTAAAGGTTTACTTAAATTGTTATAAAATTGAACTGCTGAAGCTTGCTCACTGAAACATTTGACTTGCATTAATGCTTTATGTTTCTTCATTTATATTAAAAATTCACACACAAACGAAAATGGAAAGACTGCCAATACCTGATTTCTATCCCCATTTTCCACTTGCCATCATATTCTAGGTACTTTTTGACGCCGTGGGAAAAAATATCTAATGCTCAGAACTACCAATAGCAGGAAGAAGAGAATATTTTTTAAAAGAATGAAATGTTTCCCACCATAGTGGATTCTTAAGCACTTTATCCAAGTATATGGCATGCTGGCTGGGTGTCTTTTGGCATAATTGTTACACGTTTGGCATAGATAGCACACAGGTTGGTGTCTTCAAAAAGGCAGCCAGATAGGCCTCATGTGCCTCCTGCAAAGTACCAATAGCTGTATTCTAGGAGCCCAGATCTATTTTGATGTCCTGAGCAATTTATCACACCAGACACTGGAAGGGACGTTTTCAAATCAGGTCAGTGGACTTCTGAGAACCTATAGAGTACGTAGTACCAGGCCTGTAAAGATGAGGTTTCTTCACTCGTCCAGTAGAGGGCGCAGTCTTACAAGCGGCTTTTGTAGTCATTTGCATCCTCCATGATTTACCACTGGTGGATTTGCAAGTAATTGACTTTGTAGGAGCCATGGAATCCAAACCTCCTTACTATTCCCTTCTCAAACTGGAGCATGGGAGCTGGAGGCAGCACTGGCTTTAGAAATCTATGGCAGCACAGAGGAGGCCGTAAACACAACAGAAAGATGGCAGACACCAAGCTATCCGCCAACATGTGCCGTGTGCCAACCAATCACACACAATGGAGGGAAAGCACAGGTCTGCCCCTGACGCCTGAGATGGTTATTGTTAACACTCTCTGTGGACATTGAGTCTGTGCATGTGTGTGTGTGCATGTGTGTGTTTGTGTGCATGTGTGTGTGCACACGTGTTGAGAAGAAATTGTAAAATGGCATTTATTTCAAAACTCTTGCATCTACAGATGAACATAGGACACCTTGGAGTAAATTTTCCTTTTTCAGAGAAGAGTCACTTGACTGACATCACTTAGTTACACAAAAATAAGGGCAGCAGGTTCCTTTTGCCCAGGGGAAAAATATAATAGAACCTTCTGGAACCAGACATCTCACCCTCCCTTATCTCCCTTAAAATGCAGAGTCAGCATTTGTGGAGAGGTTAGACAATTTTGCATAAGTGTCTCTGAGTCTCCTAGGAGGAAAGGAAGGTGAGCATCATATTTTCACTCTTTGAAGTTCAATGTTATTAGAATATTTGGGATGTTCCTGAAAATGGCCTGGAGGTAGGAAAGGACCACAAGGGCTCCAGAATGGTAGGAAAATTCTGGGTTAATTTCATTCTCTTAAAGTGAGAGCCTAAGGTCTGGGGAAAAGGTTAGTCCCAGCACAAGTGTGTGGCTGAGCCTAGAAGAGCCTTGAGACCCAACCTGTTATGTGAGTCCAATAAAATGCAGAAGAGGTAACCTTGAAATTCTGAGGATGGAGTCTCATGTAGTCTATGTAGATATCTGAAACAACCAATAGATTGGTGCCTATAACTACAGCAGAAAACAGAGACACATGAAATAGTAACCCTAGAACAGGGGTCCTCAAACTTTTTAAACAGGGGGCCAGTTCAATGTCCCTCAGACCGTTGGAGGGTCGGACTATAGTTTAAAAAAAAACTATGAAAAAATTCCGATGCACACTGCACATATCTTATTTTGAAGTAAAAAAACAAAATGGGAACAAATACAATATTTGTATTTGCATGTGGCCCGCGGGCCGTAGTTTGAGGACCCCTGCCCTAGAACAATATGTGACCCAGAGAAGAAACTCAATAAAGGATCAGGGTTGGAAGGCAGGCAAGAACGCATATGGACCAATCAAACAGAAGCAGTGACTCCTAAAGCCACGGCCCACTATTGAACCAATCAGATACTCACAGACCCATTTAGAGTAAGTAAACCCCTGAGGTTTTTTAACAAATCAAGGTGGAATAGTTTTCAAGAAAGGTGTGGATTTTTCAACTAAAATAAAACTCTGGTATCCGAAAATATTTTAGAGGTGAGAGAGATGTGGCTGTATTTGTAACCAAGCTGGTGAAGTGACTATAGCAGTAACATGTATGAATATATGTGTATTTTAAAACAGAGCATTATACAACATAAAAATTCTTCTAAATTGCTGGACATCTCGTAGGCTATTATATGTGGATACAAATATTTATTTACAGTTGTATCAAAAAGAATAAAATACCTAGGAATAAACTTAACCAAGGAGGTGAAAGACCTCTACTCTGTAAATTATGACATTGAAAAAGAAATTGTAAAGAACACAAATAAAAGAAAGGGTATACCATGCTCATGTATACGAAGGATTAATTAATATTGTTAAGTTGATCATACTACCCAAAACAATTTACAGATTCAATGTAATTACTATCAAAATATCAATATCATTCTTCTCAGACCAAAACAAATAATTCATAAATTTATATGAAATCACAAAAAATCTTGAGTACAGCCAAAGCAATCTTAAGAAGAACAAAGTTGAAGGTATCATGATCCCTGATCTCAAACTATATTACAAAGCTATAATAATCAAAACTATAAGGTACTGGCACAAAAACAGACATAGATCAATGGAATGGAATAGAGATACCAAAAATAAACTCTCACTTATATGGTCAATTAACTCATGACAAGGAAGGTAAAAAACTATACTGGAGTAGCAACAGTTTCTTCAACAAATGGAGTTGGGAAAACTGGACAGGTATGTGCAAAAAAATACTCTGGACCACTCTCTTATATCATATTCAAAAACAAACTCAAAATGGTTTAAAGACTTAAATGTAAGGCCTGAAACAATAAAAGGCCTAGAAGAAAACATAGGAAATAAACTACCCAACATCACTTGAGTAATATCTTTTTGGATACGTCCCCTCAAGCAAGGGAAACAAAAGAATAAACATATGGGACTACATCAAACTAAAAAGCTTCTGCACAACAAAGGAAAACTTCAACAAAACAAAGGCAATCTACTGAGTGGGAGAACGTATTCTCAAATGATATTTCCAAAAAGGAGTTGATGTCCAAACTATATAAGAAATTCATACAACTCAATAACAAAAAATAAACAATCTGATCAAAACAATGGGCAGAGGACATGAAAAGACATTTATTTATCCAAAGAAAACATAAAGATGGCCAGTAGGTATATGAAAAAATGTTCAACATCACTAATCATCAAAGAAATGCAAATAAAAACCACAATGAGGTATCACCTCACACCAGTCAGAATGGCTATTATCAGAACATCAACAAATAATTTCTTGGCGAGGAGGTGGAGAAAAGGGAACCCTTGCGCACTGTTGCTGGGATAGCAAACTGCAGCAGCCCCTATGGAAAACAGTATGGAGATTCTTCAAAAACTAAAAATGGATATACCATACAACCCAGTACTTTCACTTTGTGTATTTATCCAAAGAAAATGAAAACACTAATTTGAAAACTATATGTTCCCCCATGTTCATTGCAGCACTATTTACAATAGCCAAGATATGGTAGCAACCTAGGCTTCCATTGATAGATGAATAGATAAAGAAATAGTGCTGTGGGTGTGTGGGGGTGTATCCACTGGCAGCTGATCTGTTTTTACAGAGTGAAGGAGTCACCATCTAAAACCTATAAACTGTCACAGTCTATCATCATTGTAAAGATGTGACCATCATTTAGATTAACTGAATGATTTTTTTTTCTCTGTGATGGCTTTTCAGATGGTGATGTGTGTGTACACACACACACACACACACACACAGCAATAAAAAAAGAATGAAATCTTGCCCTTTGTGACAACATGGATGGATCTATTATGCTCAGTGAAATAAGTCAAAGACAAATGGTTTCACTTATTTGTGGAATCTAAAAACAAAACAAAAGCAGAATCATATAAACAGAGACCAAAGAAATTGTTATCAGAAGAGAGGGGGTGGAGGGATGGGTAAAAAGGGGAAGGTGAATATAGTTAACAATATTGTGGTAAGTTTGCACAGTGACAATTGATTACAAGAATTAGTGGATGATCACATCTTGAGATATAAAAATGTTGAATCACAATGTTGCACACATGAAACTAATATAACCAATATAAGATTGTATACCAACTATACTTAAATAAAAACAAATTTTAAAAAAACATTCATTCATTCACTAAGCATTTATCAAGCACTTACTATGTATAAGGCACTGTGTGTACTACATTGAGGAATGCACTGCCTAGCCCCCTAAGATTTCATAGTTTAATAGGCCAGTACAATAAATTGCCACACAGCCTGATAGGTGCTATCATTGAGAAATAAAAGCCAGGTTAACATTATATAAAAGTGGTTTTATTTCCTCTTTCTCTGTCCAGTATCCAATCTCCCTTCTTTTCTACTTCAACTGGCAGGGAAACCTCAGAAGGAAAGAAGGTGGAGGCTCAGCATGTCAAACAGTCAAGTTGGATGAAGGCTGAGGACATCCTTGGATTTGTACTTAGCAGGTCACTGGCATATCATTCAAAAAAACATTTTATTTAAATACTGCAATCTTTGCATTTCAGTGAGTGAGGGACGCCAAGTGAAGGTGCCATTTGGTAGAATTCAATAAAGAAACTGTGCTAATCTTTGGGAGAATTATACAAATGGTAGTCATTACTGGGACAACTTCAGACGTCTGTCACCTCCCCTCTCCAGAGCAGAGAGAGTAACGTAACCTCTGCTTGATGGATATGCTCATTCTACTAAATTCACCTGCTTGAATGGCAGCTGCCCACTCAATTTCCCTTTTAAAACCCACAGATGTGTGTGGCAATAATTGTAGGCCCACTGGCGGCTGATCTGTTTTCACAGCGTGAAGGAGTCGTCATCTAAAACCTATAAACTGTCACAGTCTGTCATCATTGCAGAGATGCAACTATTATTTAAACTATGAGATTTTTTTTTCCTCCCTCTGTGATGGTTTTTCAGACGGTGATATGTCATAAGCAAGCCACAATAAACTGGCGTTCAGCATTCTCAACCCATTAGTCCTGCCCATAATTTGGTGCTTTCAGGAAAGCATACAGAGGATATAAAAAGATTTTGTCTCTGTTTATGCCTGCCAGGAAAAAAAAAAAATCTAAGGAAATCGTTTATACATAACTACCTGAATAGGAGCTGAGCATTATGGCAGCTGTAGAGAGAAAAATAAATAAATAAACGAGTCTCGCTTATTGCCAGCTGGGAGGTGTCTTTGGTGCAAAGTCTCTCTTTGAATGAGGGCAAAAGTAAGCTCACACTTGCTTAGTATCCAAGAGTTCATAAAGCCTTTAAAAGACATCATTTCACTTAATCGTCACAAGAATGCTATGCCTTGCTAGAGCACACATCATTATTCCTATTCTCAAATGAGGCAATTGAGACTTAGGAAAATGTTGGTGATTCAGCCAAGGTTACAACAGAGTTAGTAAACAATAGAACCTAAGCCCAGAGCTCCTACATTCATAGCTCCTCCCAACAAAAGCCTGCAGTGGAGTCTTTCTCCCTTCGTCCTCTCTTTTATGTAATGAATTCATTTTTAAGTGTTTCAAAATGATGTGCAGTCAAGTCCAGTTTCCTCATCTGTGAAAGGGAAATGATAGTGGTATGCCGGAAGCCGGTCCATCCTTGCTGCTTGACACAGTCGCTGCAGGGAAGAACATCTGCGCAGCATATGTTTCAAGGGACCTGGCGTATATGGCACACTGTTCTTAATATGTTTGCTCCCCTTCTTGGTACTATGTGTTTTAACCAAGGTCACCTCCCCGAAAAAGGTTGTTTCCCCAGGTAGGGATTTTTCCCTGAAGCAAGGGAGGGAATAAAACCCCTTAACTAAGTGCCAGGCGGGTAGTTAATCACTTTAACTACGACCAATCATGCTTAAGCTACATAATCTTTACTCCCTGGAATGGAGATAAGAAACGCCCTAACCTTTGGAATAGAAATTGATAGGATTAAAATCAACTGGTATAAATACAGATGTAATAAGACCATAAAAGACAGAACTTGGCTGGAGATCCTCGCTAGAGAACCTGGCTAGGCTGCTGATCAACTGAATGCTGTCTCCGTGTCATTCCTTCTTCGCCTACTCCGTCCACACCTTTGGGAACCCCTGGACCTCCTGGGGCTGGACCCCAACAAGGGGTCACCCTCAACAAGATTATTTAATAATGGATGCTTATGCTAAAGGCGATGGCAATAACATGGGAAAAGGCCTTCCCAAGAAAAAGATAGCACCAGGGAACTATGGGAATACTCCTGGAAAAGGACCATATGCTGTTTCCAGCAATCCATATGCATTTAAAAACCCAATTTACAGTCAACCTGTTTGGGTAAATGACAACCACAGAGATCAAAGTAAGAGACGGCTATCAGATGAACTTGCTGGTAATTCAGAGAGTTGGAGAGAATTCAGACAAGGACCTAGAATTCCTGTTATGAACCAACCAAGAAAAGACTTCTTTCAAGAAAGTGAGGATGGATATCGGTGGCAAGATGGAAGAGGCTGTAGAGCTGTAAGGCGACTATCTCACAAAGACCCGACAAGCCTGGAAACCATGTCAGAAGTGGAAACAGGAAGCCAGGAAGACAAGATGCAGAAGTCCAGACCTAGGAAGCCACGGAGGACTAGAAATGCGGAAAGTGAATTGGACGGGGACTTGGAAGGCCCTGTGATCGACGAGTCTGTGCTTTCAGCAAAGGAGCTCCTGGGTTTACAGCAGGCTGAGAAGCAATTGAAAAGGGATGGCACTGACAGGCTGAAAAGGCCACTGAGAAACTACCCTACAGCAAAGTACATCTGCAAACTTTGTGATGTTTTCATTGAATCCATTGCATCTTCCCATGAGCATATGAAAGAGAAGAGGCACAAGAAAAACATTAAGGAGAAGCAGGAGAAAGAGTTGCTCACTACATTACCCCCGCCTACGCCCTCCCAGATAAATGCAATTGGTACTGCCATTGACAAAGTTGTACAGGAGTTTGGGTTACTCAATGAGAACTTGGAACAGAGACTAGAAATTAAACGTATCATGGAAAATGTGTTCCAACACAAGTTACCAGATTGTTCTCTAAGATTATATGGGTCATCCTGTAGCCAATTGGGTTTCAAAAATTCGGATGTAAACATTGACATTCAATTTCCAGCCAGTATGTCTCAGCCAGATGTGCTCCTACTTGTTCAGGAATGTTTAAAGAACAGTGATTCTTTTATTGATGTTGATGCAGATTTTCGTGCTAGGGTGCCAGTGGTGGTGTGCAAAGAAAAGAAAAGTGGTCTTTTTTGTAAAGTGAGTGCAGGAAATGAACAGGCTTGTCTGACAACAAATCACTTAACTGCCCTTGGAAAACTAGAACCAACGCTGATTCCTTTGGTGATTGCATTTAGGTACTGGGCAAAGCTTTGTATAGATCGCCCTGAAGAAGGAGGTTTGCCACCATATGTGTTTGCCCTGATGACAGTTTTCTTTCTTCAGCAGAGGAAAGAACCCCTTCTGCCTGTTTATCTAGGATCATGGGTTGAAGGATTCTCATTGAATAAACTGGGCAACTTCAACCTAAAAGATATTCAGAAAGACGTCGTGGTCTGGGAATACACTGATAATGCCACAGGGGATGCTGACACAGCAAAAGAAGAGGCACTAAAAAAAATACCTGTTAAAACAGGACAGGAATCATTAATATTTGATTTAAAACACCAGCCTTCAGTGCCAGTTGGGCAGCTCTGGGTGGAATTGCTTCGATTCTATGCTTTAGAATTTAATTTGGCTGATTTAGTGATAAGTATCCGAGTCAAGGAAATGATATCTCGTGAATCAAAGGATTGGCCCAAAAAGCGCATTGCCATCGAAGATCCCTACTCTGTTGAAAGGAATGTGGCAAAAACCCTAAACAGTCAACCTGTGTTTGAATACATACTTCATTGTTTAAGAACAACATATAAATATTTTGCTCTCCCACACAAAATTACAAAATCTAGCCTTCCGAAGCCTCTGAGTACTGTTACATGTTCAGAATATTCTAACGAAGTAGCAGACAATGCCTACACTGGATCAGGGGATGAGGGTGCCCTATCTGAAGAGGATGAGGAGGTAGGCCAGTCTAAGTACGAAGACTCAAAAGAATGTGGAAAAGATGTGGCTGGAGCTCTACTAACAGAACTTAATAAAATCAGTCTTAAGGAGGAAAATGTATGTGAAGAAAATTCAACCATGGATCCATCTAACTTCTATGAATTTAGTAAGCTCACCTTCACCAAAGGCAAGTCTCCTGCAGTAGTGTGCAGTTTATGCAAACGAGAGGGTCATCTAAAGAAGGACTGCCCTGAAGACTTCAAAAGAATCCAGCTGGAACCTTTGCCACCATTGACACCCAAATTTACAAGTATCCTAGATCAAGTTTGTATCCAGTGTTATAAGGATTTTTCTCCAACTATTTTAGAAGATCGAGCTCGTGAACATATTCGGCAAAACCTAGAAAGTTTCGTAAGACGGGAGTTTCCAGGAACTAAATTGAGCTTGTTTGGCTCCTCCAAAAATGGATTTGGGTTCAAACAGAGTGATCTTGACATCTGAATGACAATTAATGGACTTGAAACTGCTGAGGGGTTGGACTGTATAAGAACTATTGAAGAATTGGCCAGAGTCCTCAAAAAACATTCAGATCTGAGAAACATCTTGCCTATTACAACAGCAAAGGTGCCAATTGTAAAGTCCTTCCATTGGAGAAGTGGTCTGGAAGTGGACATCTGTTTGTATAACACATTGGCCCTTCATAACACAAGGCTTCTATTTGCTTATTCAGCCATTGATCCCAGAGTGAAATATTTATGCTATACCATGAAAGTTTTTGCAAAGATATGTGATATTGGTGATGCATCCAGAGGCAGCTTATCATCATATGCATACACACTTATGGTGCTATATTTTCTCCAGCAGAGGAAACCACCAGTCATTCCTGTCCTTCAAGAGATATACAAAGGTGAAAAGAAACCTGAAATATTTGTTGATGGCTGGAATATTTATTTTTTTGATCAAATAGATGAACTGCCCACCTATTGGCCAGAATATGGAAATAATACAGAATCTGTTGGGGAGCTCTGGTTGGGACTTCTTCGTTTCTACACAGAGGACTTTGATTTTAAAAAACATGTTATTAGCATCAGAAGAAAAAGTCTGCTTGAGACTTTTAAGAAACAGTGGACCTCAAAATACATTGTTATTGAAGATCCCTTTGATTTGAATCATAATCTTGGAGCTGGAATATCAAGGAAAATGACCAATTTTATATTGAAAGCATTTATTAATGGTAGAAGAGTATTTGGTATTCCAGTCAAAGGATTTCCAAAGGACTACCCCTCAAATATGGAGTACTTTTTTGATCCAGATGTGCTAACTGAAGGGGAGTTGACCCCAAATGATAGATGCTGCCAAATTTGTGGGAAAATTGGACACTTCATGAAGGACTGTCTTTTGAGGTGAAAAATGAGGTGATGGTGAGATCAGGAAGATACCCTAAACCAAAGATACCCTGAGAACAAAGACAAAAGAAGCAAAGATGACAAAGAAGTTCAAAACAAGTGTGCAGAGAGGGAGGTGTCCTCAAAAAAGGAAAAGCCTGGCCCTAACCGGTTTGGCTCAGTGGATAGAGCATCAGCCTGGGGACTCAAAGGTCCCAAGTTGGATTCCGGTCAAGGGCATGTACCTTGCTTGCAGGCACATACCCAGTAGGGAGTGTGCAGGAGGCAGCTGATCGATGTTTCTCTTATTGATTTTTCTAACTCTCTATCCATCTTCCTTCCTCTCTGTGAAAAATCAATAAAATATATTTTAATAAAAAGAGGAAAAGCACGTGTAGTACATGCCTCATAAAAGAAATATGAATTGCTACTCTTGTAGCTTTCCTGGGCACTTTAGCAGAGAATGCCCAAATAAAAATAATAATACTCAGGCCAGATGGCAAGCTCCTCAACAGCCTGGAAATACATCAGGGAATAATATTAATCCTCCAAAAACTGTTTGTCCCCGATGTCAGAAAGGATTCCATTGGGCAAAGGAATGTAGATCAAAATACCATAAAAATGGTTGACCTTTAAATCCTACAAACCACTCCCAAGGAGGTTCTATCCCATCATCTCAATTGGGAAACTTGAGAGGGGGCCAGCCCCAGGCCCCTGCAATGATAGGGGCATCAACCCTCAACCCCTCTGCAAATTTCAGTCAGTCAGTGACCTCTTCAGAGCAACTCAGGCAGTGCAGGATTGGACCTCCATTCAACCACCCATGCAATACTAACCCCAGACTCGCCAGTAGCAGCCATTCCTACAGGTGTGTCCGAGCCGCTGCCTGAAGGAACTGTAGGTTTAATATTAGGACGGAGCTCCACCTCGTTACAGGGGATCTTAGTCATCCCAGGAGTTGTTGATGCAGACTACACAGGAGAAATACAGGTTTTACTTTCCCCACCCACCACAACTATACAGATTCAGCCCAACCAGAGAATTGCCCAATTATTCCTGTTACCAATACATAAAATAGGGACAACTGTTATCCAGGAAGCCAGAGGGGCCGGAGGCTTTGGATCTAGTGATGCAGCATTTTGGATACAAGAAATTCATGCTGCTAGACCTACAAAAATTTTACAGATTCAGGGAAAACCAATTGAAGGTCTATTGGATACAAGAGCAGATTTTTCCTGCATAGCAGGGAAGGACTGGCCCTCTTCGTGGCCCAGGCACACCACCTCCACTTCCCTAGTAGGACTAGGCAAGGCATCTAATGTAAAAAAGAGTTCTCAGATTTTAACTTGGGCTGATGAAGATCAACATTCAGGAACATTCTGTCCCTATGTAATTACGACTATTCCTTTTACATTATGGGGAAGAGATACCTTGTCTCAAATGGGAGTTCTATTATATAGCCCCAGTGATAGAGTAACATCACAAATGCTAGACATGGGATTTAATCCAGAAAAGGGATTAGGAAAAGGAAGTAATACCTCACACTCCCCTACAGGATTTATAATTGGGGCCATTGCCCTTAGGACTGCTGATCCCATAGTCTTAAAATCATCACAACCAATATGGATTGAGCAATGGCCCTTAACATCTGAAAAGGCATAGGGCCTCCTGTACAATAGCCTCTGCTGATTCAGTCTGGTAGAAGGATACACAAACCAGACAAGAGTTTTACCAGATCTAGTAATGATGTGGGGAAGAGGTTGTGTTTTGTATCTTTCCAGAAGGAGCAGCCTCTGCCTCCCTCCTGGGAACCGTCACCCCTGGGAGGCCGAGTTAGCACACCTGACCAGTGCCCGTCTGCAGCAGATGTGCAGCCCTGAGCTGGAACCACCTGTCCATTGGGAAGATCACATGTGCCTCCTTTTTGTCTGTCCATATGTCCCAGCTTTGCCCCACATCTCCTTTCCTTTTTCTTTCTTTCTTTCTTTTTTTTTTAATCTACTTGTTTGCTGGTTCTTTGGCCTTTCTCCTTCTCTCCTGAACGCAGCCTTTTCTAGAATCTCCCTACCCTACTGTTCCAGGAAGGGTACCTCCCTTTTCTGCAGTGACTGGGGCTGTCTGGTATATGCCCCATACATGGAGCTGTCTTGTGCCAAGAGCCTGACATCCTGGGCTGAGAAAGCCCTGTCCCAGGACTACATGCTGACAGGCCATTCCTCCTTTCTCCGGTATTGGGTCCTCTTGCCCTTGTGTCAAGAGGAACCCTCTTCTCACAGTCCATTTGCCCACAGTTGTTGCCCTGGGCTTTCTGTTCATGCTGAGGTTGAGGCCTCGTGGTGGCCAGTGCCATGGATCTGTCTCTTGCCCAATTGTGTGAGCTAGGCCCTCCCTGGAGAAGAAACCTGGGTTCCCCAAGAGATGTGACCAGAGCCAGGGCCCCTCCAGCAGGCGAGGGGAACCCAAAGCAGGTGCTGGGCATGAAGGCCACAGGGGCATAGGCTACCAAGGAGACAGAACTGAACCTCTTGAAGGGGGGCGCTGCCCCTACCTCATTCGCACACCTCACATCACCCTGCTTGGCCCCGGAGGATGGCTGGTTAGCCAGAGATGGGTAAGATTCCTCAGGGAAGGAACAACCTAAGACAGGCACAGTCGCAGAGGGACCATCAGGAGACAACTTAGGGGTCAACAGAGGTGGGACAGACCCTCACCCCCACAACTTTTCAGAGGCCTGAACCCTCACCCCTTCTGAGGGAGGTCTCCTGCACCCCTGCTGCTTTGCTTCCCATGCCCAGCTCAGATTGGGACCCAGGTAAAGACAGAGACTGGCTGACAGCAGTTGCCCTCTCCCTGCAACAGGACTTGTTTCCCATTTCTGCCTTGGACCACAGGGAAAGGAGCAGCTGAAGGAAAGGGCTATGTCAGGATGCTGCCTTCTTCCCTTCTCCCTCTTTTTTCTCAACACTTCCATGCCTTGTAGTTCTTTTGCTTTCTCTTCTTTTTCTCTCTACTACCCTCCATCTCAGCCTCATCCTCCTCCTCCCCGGTATCTTCCATATCAGCCAACCCAGAGGGCACAGCTGACTCCTCCCCGGACACCGACACCACCATCAAGCACGGCCCTGATGGACCCTTTGATGCAGCCCTTTAACTCGCTGACGCTTCAGAAAGCCCATAGCCAATGACACCGCTCACTAGCCAGATCAACAAGGACAACCAAACCACCGACTTGAGGCTGAAATCCCTTGACTGAAGAGGCCAGCAACCTTCTACAGGAACAAGGCTCCTTGTGCACTCCAACGATTATAGCTATGTTCGCTATTATTGCTTGTCAGTATTCTTCTGAGTCTTAAACAACCCAATCTGAGAGGTGGCCACTGATTTACATACGATCATTTAAAAAAATAAAAAAGGGAGAATTTTCCAGAAGCCAGTCCATCCTTGCTTGACACAGTCGCTGCAGAGAAGAAACATCTGCGCAGCATATGTTTCAAGGGACTGGTGTATATGGCACACTGTTCTTAATATGTTTGCTCACCTTCTTGGCACTATGTGTCTTAACCAAGGTCACCTCTCCGAGAAAGGTTGTTTCCCCAGGTAGGGATTTTTCCCTGAAGCAAGGGAGGGAATAAAACCCGTTAACAAAGTGCCAGGCGGGTAGTTAATCACTTTAACTATGACCAATCATGCTTAAGCTACATAATCTTTACTCCCTGGAATGGAGATAAGAAACGCCCTAACCTTTGGAATAGAAATTGATAGGATTAAAATCAACTGGTATAAATACAGATGTAACAAGACAATAAAAGACAGAACCTGGCTGTAGAACCTGACTAGGGAACCTGGCTATGATGATCAACTGAATGCTGTCTCCATGTCATTCTTCTTTGCTGACTCGGTCCACACCTTTGGGAATCCCTGGACCTGCTGGGGCTGGCCCCCAACAGTGGTACTTGCCTTTTACAGTTGTTGATTAAGTGATGTGAGGCACAGTGGTTGTCCAAGTGTGGCCCCTGAACCAGAAGCGTCGGTATCACTGAGGATATGTCAGATACACAAAAATTCTCAGCCTCTCCCACACCTATTGAATTAGAAACTCTGAGAGCAGAGCCTACCAGGACAGGCACACCTTGGAGATGCTGTAGGCCCAGCTCCCAACCACCCCAACAACACCAGTGTAGGGATAACATGAGTTGTAATCTGTTTTATAGAGAAGGGTCTTGCCTTCAATTTGTAAAAACACAACATGTGTGGAGCACAGTACAGGGAAGAGCAATCAGACGAGCAGTGCAGTTAACAAGAGGCCACCCACCCACCCCCCACCCACCTGTGCTTGTTAGGTTTGCTAACGTTTGATCACTGATCTAGCCCAGTGCCTGGTGCACAGTAAGTACTCAGCAATTCTTATGTGCGTTGTTATTATCGACATCACTGTTGTCATCTACATTTGTGTGAAAGGTTTCTAAACCACAGTAAAATATCCTTCAAAATAACAGCTGGAAATGAAATTACAACCAGCCAAGAAGAGCAGGCTTAAAGTCAAGATTATCAGCACAAATGGTCTTTGTCCTCATGAACCAAACAACATTCCTGGTGAATTGCAACCATCTGATCACGCCATTTCCCTCTTTAAAGATCCATCAATAGTTTGAATTGCCCATGGCACCAACTTTAAAATCTGGCTTTTCCTTCCTTAACAAACTGGTGTGTATCACTCTCTTCCTCCCCATTCACATCCCTGACTTTTCTCTCAGATGTTTTAATAAGCTATGCTCCTGTCTGTCTCCTGATTCCTGGTAATTGCCCTACTGAGAACCATTATATATCTGGAAAAGGAAAGGATGCAAAATAAGTTAGAAATTAGTCCATTGGTCAAAATAGGCCAACTGAGTTCCCACCATGTGCCTGATGTAAACCAGTCAAATGCTGGGGCTCTTTGGAGGGGGGAGGGGGAAACAAACAGACCTTATCACTAACTTAATAGTCTAATGGGAGAACAGGCATTAAGCAAGTGTTCACAAATAATTAAATTGCTACATGTGTGCAAAGTTCTACAAAAGAGAAGTGCAAGGTGTTGAGGAAGACTATGTTGGGATACATGACATGGTCTGCAAGCAGCAGCGGCCGGGCAGTGGGCTCATGGAATGACTCCTGAGGAAATGACCTTCAACCTGCACGTGAAGATGTGTGGACACGAGGCAAGAGGAAGGAGTGTAGGGTGCACACGTGGCCATCACCCCCACTAGAGGAAATAACAAGGTCTGGGGGTGGAAAGGGGCATGGTGCCTTCAAAGGCAGTTTGGCCAGGACAAGTCAGAGTTGATGAACACCTGTCCACTCTACGCTCTATGATCAATATCAGGATGAAGCATGGTGACGTCAACCAATATTAGCTTTATTCTCTGTGTTTGCCTAAGAACCCAAGAAGCTATTGTTAGGTTGTATTGATGAAATGTTGGAAATCTAACAAGCAAATCAGCCATGAACAGAAATCCAAAGTCCTTGGAGTATTTTGGATTCCAGATCTCATAAAAATAAATAAATAAATAAAAACTAGGCAGAATGAATGGTGAAGAAATGTGATGAAAACTTAAAGGGAACTATATTATTTTTGCCTCAAAGAAAAAAAAGATGTAATTTTATATGGGTTTTCTATATATGAGAGACTTTTATATATAAGAAGGTGGTCTGTTTTTCTACATCTCCGTTGAGAATAGAGGAAGAAGAAATGTGTTTAACCAGCAGTATTAAAAATATAGGTTTGATTAAAAAAAGTTTCTTGACAATAAAGAGAATTAAGTTTTAAGTATGTTACTAAGGGAGATTTAAATACTTTACCCAAAGGCATTTCTAAAAAGGCCAGGTTTTCCTATATTGGAGATACTTTCCCTGAAAGCAGAATGGTGAACTACATTTGTTCAGGTAACTTTGCTGTCCCTTGAAGACAATTCCAAAGAAAGTAAAGATAAATCGAAACAATAGTGCCACCTAGTGGCAAATTCAGCAATATACCACACTATGATTCAATAAATCCCTATATACTTTATATATTAAAACTGATTAATCTTTTTATAATATAGACACAAACCTTTTCAAGATTAGATTTCCCCATTCATCATTCAGCACATACACGTAAGGAAAAACAAGCCCAAAATCATGGGGCCAACGCATGAGTAAACCCTCCAGAGGGAACTGGCCGATTATAAGTATTTCCATAGAGTTTAAAGACTAAACCCAACAGAATTGGAACAATTTAATTAATTTCTTAACAGCCACACTCTCAAGGCTGTGGCTGCCCCCGACTTGAAGTCAAGTACAAATCTCTGTTGCCGAGATTAGGGGTGACTGCTGATGAGCAGTCATCAGAAAGCCAAAATGAGTGAGAGGGCCTTTGGGGCTGCCCTCCTGCCAGTCCCTGCTGGGTGATCGCTCTCAGACAAGGTCCTCTGAGAAACACCCCCTTGTTTTAGGTGGTCTTCCTCGTTGTACATACAAAACTCCAGTTTTGTTGTTAGAAAAACTCAGGTTCACAAGCTGCCATCGACTGAATCAGTCACCACAGAGGTAGAGTGTTTTGAAGAATAGTTCATGAAGGAATGCCCAAGTCTGGCTAACAGTTCCTGTTCTCCTGCCTTTCACACTTCCTCCCTCCTCCCTTCCCCCTCGAGTCTCTCCCACACACATTTGTCTCCCTATTGATTCTCTTGCTGACACTCAAAATGTTTAACTACTACATGTAGTGCAAAATATTTAAAAGTTTTAGTCCTAATATTAGCAAGGAGATACAGTATCCTTTTATTAGATTGCAAACATACTTGAGGATGCTCTGAAGATATTTGTTTTTAATGTATAATTTGTGTTGTTGATACTATTATAGATGTCTCCCATTTATTTTATGTAAACATATTCATATCATATCTATCAATAAGTGCCTTAATTCTTATTTGGAAGTTAACGCAATCAAAAAATGTACTTTCTTGTCCTTGCTCCGTGGTTGGCAAACCACGGCTTGCGAGCCACATGCGGCTCTTTGGCCCCTTCAGTGTGGCTCTTCCACAAAATACCACGTGTGGGCACACACGTACAGTGCGATTGAAGTTTCGTGGCCCATGCACAGAAGTTGGTATTTTGTGGAAGAGCTGGTATTTTGTGGAAGAGCCACACTGAAGGGGCCAAAGAGCCGCATGTGGCTCGCGAGCCACGGTTTGCCGAGCCGCAGTTTGCCAACCACTGCCCTAGCTGGTTTGGCTCAGTGGATTGAGCGTCGGCCTGCGGACTGAAGGGTCCCAGGTTCGATTCCAGTCAAGGGCACATGCCTGGGTTGCAGGCTTGATCCCCAGTAGGGGATATGCAGGAAGCAGCTGATCAATGATTCTCTCTCATCATTGATGCTTCTATTGCTCTCTCCCTCTCCCTCTACCTTCTCTAAAATCAGTAAAAATAATATTTTAAAAAATGCACTTTCTCTCTCTCCCTTGCTATTTATGAGGAGCATAGACAACAAAAGAGTAGAATGCAAATCAGTCAGTGTGGTTAACTTTTTCTTTCTATCTTCATCAGCCAAAGCTTCATTGGACAAGTTGAAAATTGGTAACTAGCAATGTACTTCCACAAATGTTTCTAAAAATTATCTTTGTTGTCTCTGATTCTATTAAAAAGAATTCTCTCCTATTACAAACAAAAGTAAAACAAGTAAGCCAAGGAAACGGAAGCGATGTATTTATTGGAAATGAACTAGACGTTACATACACCCGATGCAGATGTGATGAAGATGTAACAATGCATGAAGCGTAATTGATGCAACGTTTACAAAATCACAAAAGAAAAGGAAATCCATTTTCAAAAGAAATAGTGTATCCAAGACACCTTAGTCTCTGACCACCATAATACAACTCATGTCGCTGCCTCTGAACATCCAGAATAAAATTTCCTTTAAACTGAACAAAAGTTTCTCTTCCCAACTTGAAGATTCCTTGGCTCTCACACACATCAGGCAATTTTCATCACCAGCGAGTAACAGAAGGATATTTTTCATATTCCTCATAGGAAAAAAAAATACCTCCTACAAGTAGAGACATTTTGGGGAAAATTGAGCAGCAAATCAGTTGGTGGCCCCAATTGAATGGGGTATATAGAATCAGCATTTCCTAGAACCTAGAAATTACATTACCTTGACTAATAAGATTTCATTTTCTTGTAAGGAACTGCCTGGATTAGAGAGCATGCTATGCTGATTGGTAACAGGAGTCAGTACAATTATACTGGGGAACAGTGTGGAGGGGGCTTTTCATCTGCTCATCAAGGTTGTCCAAAACCTTTAGAGCTTGACTCTTCTACTCTATGATACAGTGTAGCTTGTGTATATACCAAACTCCCTTCGAGGAGAATTATCCCAGACCATCCGTGATAATATTAGTCCTGCAGAAAGCAGTAATGATCAATGCTGTTTGGAAAGGCAAAAAGGCACCTACTTCCAGAGGCACCGTCACAGAATCTTCTCTGAAACGGAGAACTGCCTGTGTGCTTTAAACGTCGCTTCCCTTCCAAGCACCTACCACACCAGAACGTCTTCCAATACACCGTCCGTGGCCGAGAAAGCTGGGCGCCCCAACACAGGGGTATGGGTCTCAGATGGGCTTTCTGCGCTTTCCCCTTTCCTTCCAACACACTTCATCAGCTTGTTTTATACGTTTCACGGTTCCCACACATGTTCACATGGAAGGGGGAGATGACTGTGAGATGATTACATTCTATCAATTGTCCAAATAAAGTGTCTGAACATAGCCTGTCATCTTTAGCAAACCAGCCATGATTGCATTTCCTTGTCCTTCATTTAAGGTAGAGAGAAGTAACAGCTCCCACATTTTGGTGGGAAAATGGCAAATCCTGTCACCACTGTGGCACCAAGTAAAGGGGAGACAAATGTGGGAGTGATTTAAATAAAAAGGGAGGAAAACTGTTCAGGTCCTAAGTTAAAACTCAGAGGCCTGATATTTTTAGTTTGAGTTACAATGCTGGTCTAATTTGCTAGAAAATTAGCAACAATTCTCTTCCAGGCGGGTAGACTCAGCCTTGCCTTTTCAGGCACATCAAAGGTGCTGCCCGAGCAGCCTCAAAATGCATGTAGACTAACATGCCGGTTGGCACAACGCAGGCTGGGGAGAAAGGTCCCCGAAAATTTTCCTGGGAAAAACCACAGGAGCGTGACTGACAATCAGTCATCTTCCTGGTATAGACACACATCAAGTCACAAATGTTACCCCCCCACACACACACACACACATACACTACTGAGTGAAACATGCTGTTCTTTGGAGAAAAAAATACATTCATTTTTTTCAAGTATATTTCAATAGACAAAGATTCGCTAGCTTTGTTTCACTACAAAGATGAGATGATTTCGCATGTGTGTAAGGGAAACTTTACCCTAACTTCCCTTTGGTGTGGATTTTATGAAGTTTTGATTTTAAAAATTGCTCTAAATATACATGGACCTCCTTTTGTCCCGAAGTGTGAATTCTTGATGTCCATTTTCTATATGTACATAGTCTACAACAACAGAAATTAGTCCGCCTATGCCCAATGGCTTAGGGTTGGCAAACTCTGGTGAGAGTGAGGCCCACTGGCGGGGGTGGGGGCTGGGGCTGGGGCTGGGCTGGGGCTCAGCCGGGACGCGGTCCACCCTCAGTGTCTTGCCCAGCACAGCCCGCAGCTCACAGACTGTCCGCAGCATCCTCCGAGCCCCGGCTACGCCTTGCCCCCGGCCTTGGCTTTATGGTTGGGGTTGCAGGTCAGGTCTCTGAGCAGCGCCTCGCAGTCGGCCAGAGCGTCGGCAGGCAGCAGCTTCCGGATCTGCTCCACTGTCTTCTGATAAGCCATCTTCTCCTGCTCCAGCGTCCGGACTAAAGACTTCATTTTGGTCTCTCTGGTCAAAAGATTTTCCAGGTTGGATTCCAAGGTCTGGATTTTAGCATGAGCTATCTGTTGGGGGGAGGAGAAGGGAGGAGAGACAAAATAAAAATCCTCTAAATAAAAAATGTGAAGACTCTGGTTTTTCATTGTAGCAGCAACCAGACCTATGTATATTAAGCAATCTTATCATATCTATATATATAAAAGCCTAAGTGACCATTACAACCAGTTGATCAAGCGACCAGTTGCTATGACGTGCACTGACCACCAGGGGTCAGATGCTCAATGCAGGAGCTTCCCCCTGGTGGTCAGTGTGCTCCCACAGCCAACCTACCATGGCCCCTCCCCCCAGCAGGCCAGCCCCAATCAGGACTGGGCGAGACGGCCCCAATTGCTGGTCAGGCTGAGGAACCCCACCCATGCACGAATTTGTGCACCAGGCCTCTAGTGACTTATAAAATAGTATGCGAAGCAGGTACTCTGAAACCTTCCATGAAATGGAGATTTTATAGGTTTCTCTAAAAATATAACTATGATACTAACAAAATACATCTCATTTCACTGAGCACACCAAAAGTGCAACATTGTCATCAGTCCAAGTTGGAGAGGATCCTCACTCCATACATTGGTGCTCCCCCAGAATGAGTGGGATCTGATGGAGAAACAGGAGATTCCTGACTGCCTTGAGGTGCTAAGAGGGACTTTTTACTAAATGGACATGCAGGGTTTTCTAAACACACTTAGAATCCTATCAGTTTTTATGGGTGTCAGCAGTACTCAGGTAACTTGGGAACCCAGACACAATGACAACATGAGCTGTCAATGAAAAAGTTTGTTATCATTAACAAAAATCATTATAATATAAAGCAGGTGCAAATACACCTCAACCTTGCTTTCTCCTCAGGCATGTAATGCCTGAGCAGACTCAAAATGCATGTAGACATACTCAACTAACCATCGTTGAAATATCCATGTAATCATGAACAATACCCTCAACTGTTTATTTTTCTTTTCAAAAACAAACAACGTTGGCTCTTTTTTTGAATAAGAAAAAGCATAAAATTTCTGATGGGCCAGAGCTAACGTAAGATGAAGTAAAGGAAGTTAGTGTTCCTTTTCTTGGGGAGTAGTTACTCTAGCATCCCCTTGTTTCTGAGCTGGTTCTCTCCTAGTTGGTCCAGAGGTTCACCAATAGAAGCAGACTGTCGTGGTCTCTAGTTTGGCAACAGGTGCAGTGTTGGGAAATGAGTGATAAGCAGAAAGTAAGGAGCCATTAGGCACTGAAGCTCTAACTCAGAACTCATCTCTCTACCCCCAGAGGTGTGCCCTCTAACCTTCCCTCCACTGAATACTCTTAAACCCAACCCCTCTAGGCTTGAATACACAGCACCATTATATAATTGCAGATGTGAAACTTTACTTTCCAT